GGCCCCGCCACCTCAATGCGCCTATTTCCGCCGGGGAGCTGAACTGCGTGGGCGGGGCCGTGACTGCTTGCCTACACCCTTCTACTACTACTACCACCACTACTTTGTACTGCTGCGCGCGCGGGGGGATGGATCGTTTTTGTCTGACGGGGAAATAAGAAATGAAAATAACCCTCACGAAGATAGGAATTAATGATGATGATGGTTAAAGTTCCACTGCTCGTGCACGCCCGGTGATTATAGGGGAGCGAGCAGCAGTTGAAGTTGAAGAGAGCCCAACGGATCCAGTAGTGTAAGAACCGAGGGCAGTCGGCCGGCCGAAAGAGAGACCTGCTGATGACGTTATGCCTGCAGCACTGGAAGTTCGATGCGAGCTTGGCAAGCTGGCCCCCGCGAAGGGGCTGAGCTGGGCGGTTGACAGACTCGGCTGGCAGAAGTATAGGGTAGGGGGGTGGGGGGGTTAATTGTTAAAGTGGAGGAAGAGGGGCAGCGGGGCTGCGGGGCTCTGGCGGCTCTGCGCTGTCCGCGACAGGCGGGCGCGGCCCGGCGCGGCCCTGCGCCCCAGCGCCCGCCGGGGCTGCCGAGGGCCGGGAGCGGCCGGGGGCGCCATGCCAGCCCCACTAGTGGTACGACCAGACTCGACTTCACTTCTTTTTGCTGCCCCCACCCCCCACCACCCCCCCTCTCCGGTTCCCCTTCGGTCCTTTTCCATCTCCGTCGGAGAGAAAGCTCAGCCTCTTTTCTGCGCTCTCAAACGCGTACAGCGGCGCTGCTGGTGGTGTACTCTCCCACAAACGAATTTGCCGCGTGGAATTCACTTACGGAATCCACCGATCCTCAATTTGGCCATACGTCGACGACGTCTGCTTTCCCCCTCGGCCTCCGCTTCTCGTAACACGAGAACTCTGCTACTTAGATTTACTCCATGTCCCTCCAAGCAGAATGACAGCAGCGCTTTGCCATTTTAAGCGCAAGCGGCAGCAGGTGCTTTCTCTACTGCCGCCGCTGCTGAGCTCTTCTCCGACAGCCCAGGTTCGCACCGGATTTTGTCCTGACCGGCAGCAGCAGATTAGAACACTGGAAAATTTCTCGTTTTTTTTTCTTACTAAAAATACAAATATACCCAAAATATACTTCAAAACATTTTCAGAAAGTAAACTGCGAGTTAATAATGCTTTGTTTCCTATAGAATTATTTTTGTTTCAAAAGGGCTTATCATAAGAACTCATCTTGGCCTCTGTGGTACAAGCTCAGCGCGTGCCTATCACAGTGCCCTGTCCTGACCAAACGGTGCCGAGCGCACGGGCCGGTACCGCCGGAGCTTGCCGGAGCAGGACCACTTGGAGCAGCTGCTGGAACCCTCCGATAAGCTTCAACAATACGGCCGCCTGATGAGCAGCCTTTGTGATGCGCCAGAGAACCGCGCCGCAACCATCTTGTGTGCGCCACCAACTCAAAAGGCATACCGCTCCCCCACGCAACACATCTTAAAGTGTGCAACAAAGATAAACGCGGTCAATTACTTGCAAAAATGTTATTGCTTTCACGACTTCTTGGAAATCACCACTGATGGTGTCTCGCGAGTTTTATTATAATTCTCAATGAATGACTAGATAGTGTTAGTATGAGGGCACTGGGTATTGCGGCGTGACAATGTGAGAAAACGCATGAATATAAACAAACATTCTATGTATTTCTTTACTCAACTTACAAATAGTGTAATCACACAAAAGAAACGGTCTCATAACTAACAGCCTCATAAAGCTATTTAAAGTATTACAAAACAGATGGTAGCATCAACAAGGATTGTGCATCTTATACTACATATCACACATTTGAATCAATATGGATCAATGACTAGATTAAGAGAAAAAAAGAAAAAATGCAAAGTTTGAAAATATAAAAGAATAAGCAATAGTATCGAGCTGACTAGTTTTATTATTCTCCAAAATGTTGAAGTAGCAGATGATGTCAAAGCCAAAACTTGATGAAGTTTTAGAGAGCAGTGTAGGCACATTAATTACAAACTAATTAGCTTTTTCTAAAGGTTGACAGCTTCATAAAATAAAGAAAATCATTTTGTAATGTTCACAACAATGCAAAATAATTGATAAGTAACAGATAAATATATCGAAGACAACGTTAAACTTATGAACCTAGCATTTAAATGTACATAAATAAAACATAACAAATACATATAAATAATGAAAGAAGACAGATTGTATCATAACAAATTACAAGCGACCTCACACAGCGTCAAGTCTTAACATTTCTTCTAGAAAAAAATGATACTGAATTTACAACGGAATACCAATAAAGATTTCTGACAAAAATATAATATATAGACATATCAATAGCTTTCCCTTTCCCACTCCCTCCCCATCTTTCTTCTTTTTTTACAAAGTGGATTATGGAACATTCTTACACATGAATGATATGGCGATTGTGGTCACACTTGACGTGCTGATATGTACCCTAGGGGAGCGCGCGGCTAGACCATGGCCGGCGTGCCGTTCTCCTTGTGCCAGCCGTTGGTCAGCACGGCCGCCTCGGCGTGCTCGTCGCTCAGCACGGCGGAGCAGGAGGCCAGCGCCTGGAACCACACGGCCGTCAGGCGTCCGTCAGGGAACCGACCAGAACAACACACAGCCTCAGCACTATAGCCTTTAGAGTTTCATGAGAAAAGTTTCAATATTACAAGTATGGGACACAGACTATATGAAATGTATTTTTCTCATGATAAAAAAGCGTATGGAATACGTATGTTGTGTATAAAGGGTTAGAAAATTTTATTATAACAATATTACAAGAACTAGTAAATTATCATCACCAATTACAACCACAACTCAACAGTTAAGCTCGGGATACAGTATACGTCTATCGTTGTTAGACTTGTCCGTTTTCAGTACCTCACAGCATTTGTATCGACATCTCCAGCAGGGTACTGACCTGCGCGTGCGAGAAGGCGACGTGGTGCGGCATGGCCTTCATCTGCTGCTCGGGCGAGGCGCTGGGCTGTGGCAGGGCCTGCTGCTGCTGCTGCTGCTGCTGCTCCGCCGAGCCCAGCTCGTAGATGTTGAGCATGTGCGCGGCCTGCACGTGCACCATGAGGTCCCAGGCCGAGGTGAAGGACGCCTTGCACGACACGCACAGCAGCGACACCGCCGACCCACCTTCACCCCCTAAAACAAACAAACAGACAACGTTATTGTTTAATTCCTTGCCAAAGCGCGCGGCATCGGGTATGTTTTCTCCCAATAGCGCACTGTGAAAAATATCGTAAATTTTTGATATATTTTGTAAATGATAATTATCTTTACAAATCTTTACAAAATATTCTGTAAATTTATGACACTCTTGCTCGTCGACGAATTCCAATCAACTTTACGAAACACTTTACGGAACATTTTCCCGTAAAGCCTTCAACTATTACTCTGAAAACTCAACAGCATGCATTGCATGCGTTATATAAAGCATGCATGGTATGCATGCTGTATTTAACGCATGCATTGAGATGCGTGCTGTTTTTAACGCATGCATGGAGATGCATGCTGTATTTAATGCATGCATTGAGATGCATGCTGTTGCTACAACTCGTTTTTGTGGAATATTTACTAAGTGAGCTTTTCGGTTTTATTTTTGATGAGCCCATCGGATTCCTTGTGAAATTTCCGTTCGAACGAGCCGGTTCCCAACGAGGGGTTCCCAACTTGAATACCAACGCTTCAAATATAATTTAAAAAAAAAACCGCTAAACTGAACTTACGAAGTAACTATGCATCAGGGCCCCATCACATGTAGGCTCGTTCGAACGGAAATTTCACAAGGAATCCGATGGGCTTATCAAAAATAAAGCCGAAAAGCTCACTTAGTAAATATTCCACAAAAA